ACCAGAGGTACAAAATACTGAAAATTTACGTCACCACCAACCATGGTAACACTCACGTGGTGGACTCTTGATTTCATGAGCACCCCCATCCCCCTTCCTTAAATCATGGATATGCCACTGATTATTATTTTACACCTAAATGCCTTATATTTTTTTACTCAAAATATCAATTCTCGACATCATTGCAGAAGATGAATCAGAAATGAATAAAATTCAACAGTTAACAAATAATTTTGCCATGATTTATTGAGCATTTGGAAATTTATGATGATGGCAACATTATTAACAATTCTATAACCTTTAACCTTTCGTGACACATCAACACAGAGCCCTGAGAGGTAATAACATATCCGATGTATGACATCTTCATCCGATAAAATTTACATTCCTTCCATTAAGATATCATTTCTATTTTAACAATCATATTTTATTTTCCATGAAAACCAAATTTAATAATTTAATTAAATTACTGGCTGATAATAAGATTTTTTCATAATATCTGTCTTAGCGTTATAACACAAATACGGTATAGTCCTATGTGTGACTATTTCCTCGCATCAAGAGTCTTGTTACACTAATAGCATAATCTTAGCTCAAGATTTAGATTTTGCTGACAAATTTACAATTTCATTTAGCTTCTATTTCACAAATAATGGTATATTTAATAATACTTGAGGATTGTGGGTAAAGAAACAAATCATAAGTTCCAGCAAAATCTAATTTATATTGCAGTTTAGTTCCTTTTGTTCCTGTTGAATATGTGACCTACTTAAACTCAAAAGCCTGTAACTTGTATATATATATATACTGGGAGCATTAACCCCAACCCTAATTATAATATTATTATTAGCATGGTACTTTTAGTTGTTTTGGTACATAGCAAATTCCCTGTATATAAATTTAAACTTTCACACAATGACCGAAAAGCAGTTACTTGAGTCACTTGAACGATAGGTAATATTACCCCACACCTGTCAAGTCTATTGGAATGTCCTAAACTAAATATATCAGTAAAAGAAAATAGATATAGTCAGTCCCTACTTTAGGATGAAAGCTTAAGGTCAGTTTTATCTACTAGTGCTTATACTCAATAAATTTATACCTTTTGCATTTAAATTGAAGTTTCATCTTTTATCTGTTTATAACGAGTTCTACCAAATATAGTTAGCTAGTTTCCAGGATGGCTGTAAATACTCGATTGCTAACAGTTCCCACCCACTTCCCACCAAAAAAAAAATGAACTACAGTACTGGAGTACATTAGGTCTACAGCGAGCGGTCGTGACCCAAACCAAACTTGGCAGCATTTTGAGCCCGGCATTGACGATGAAACCCAATAACCGTTTTACCTCTATGATTTATAACAATGAGCTTCTTCTACCATAGGTCATGAATCAGGCATCAGACGCATGCAATTCTTTTAATATTTGATAAAGTTTTTACTTCCTCCTGTGATACTATGTTAAATTCAGCACAGCTTATTAATAAAAGAATTAATACCAACATTGGGAGTTATTTTTATACAGGGACAGGACTCTGAAAGGGGCGGGAGGGGGAAGAACCGTTATGCGAGTTACGTGGTACCGAGCAGGGGTAAGGTTGTTCCCCTTCCTAAGGTTGGGGGACGCCAGGGACCTGTGGGGTACAGAGGGGAATTTTTTCCATTAAAAAAATGTAAAAGATGCAGGTGAATGGGAGGCTTGAATCTGTCACTGCTCAAAACATTCTTTATCCAAAACAGTTATTATCACGAAAAATGAGCATGAAAAACCAGATCACATCATGAAAACAAAATTATGCACTGACTAAATGGGCAGAAATAAAACTTTTAGTAAAATTTGTCGTCATCTGCATAAAATTAAAGTGCCTCATGATCGTTTATTAGGGATTTTCGGCAACCATAGGGGTTGGGGCTGAGGTTATAAAATTTGAGGAAATAGTGCCTGCCTCTAGATGGCCGGAAATGACGCTTTTATATAGAAAAATGCATCATCACATCACAATTATATAGTCAAAATGAAGCGCCAACAAATTTTAATATTATTACTATTATTATCTATTAGGGGTCATCCATTATTTTTATCATTTTCACAAGAGTACAAAACATACTCTTTTTGTCAACCCCCTCCCCCTCTGTGAAAGTGTACATGATAAAATGACGATTTTCTTTCAGTGTTTTATAGCGATATATAT